GGAGTCGAGACAACTTTAGTGGTCCTCTGAAATAATAAAAGAAATGCAAATAAGCTTTGCACGTATGAACCTTCTCCTCACATCGATGACGAGAAGCGCGACAATTAAGAGTAGGAACAAAGGTTTACGCAAAATGATCACATTAACAAGCTTACTTTTGCTGACTTAGGGGCTGCGCCAAGAGGTGACTTGAATCGTCTTACGGGGGTGCCAGTGGAGCTAAGATTGATCTAAAAAAAGGCTAGAAAGATAAGCAAGTATCAAACCTGGGAGATGCATCGAGTAACTGGCCTGGGAGAAGGCTCATGTGCTCGCCTTTTCAAGGAAAATGGAGAAGTGGTTTTAGAGGCGGGAATGCCTCTATTGTGAGACCTCAATCTATAATCTTTAGCAGTATCAACGCCACGTGAAGTTGCCACATGTCTAGACGGGGAAAGAAAGGCGAGTTTCCCAGTTGGGTTCGCGGATGGTGTCCTTTGAGTCAGAAGGATTGGTATTCTTCGTGCGATAGAAGTAGGTTTCTAATGTAGATAAAATATCAATATATCAGACTGATAATCTAAAGACATTGTCCAAAGCTTCGAGCATCATTACCTCGGGAAGAGACGTCGCAGAAGTCAGTAGCGAAGAATTACAGGTATCTATCGGTTTCCTTGAGTTGTTAAATCGAGTGGAGGCAAGAGATGACAAACTGCTTGTAGAGGAAGCGATTCCCTGACAGAGAGCCTTTAAGGATAAAAATAGTTGAATCAAGAGATAATTACAGAATACCTGATCAATTTTTCTTAATTTGCTTGGAATATGGGCTGGATTTGGGATAGCTCCAAATTGAGTGTTGTTCAGAGCAGCAAGTGGCCTCTTGCTGGCTGATAAAGTAGCAGGGAGTGCTAACTTTGCAGCCGCTTTTGTTCCATAGCGCATTTCAACCTCCTTTAGTCTAAATTTGAGAAATAATAGATAGGAAAAAGACCTACGTTTTCAGCTTCTGCTGCCGCAATTTAATTTTGTTTTCTTTCTCGGCTTCACGATCGGAGTGCATTTTGGTGATGTATTCGAGTACTGGCAAACCATGGACAGCACAAATTGAACTATCATTCGACTGTGTGACTAGTTGTTGAATAGTCGCTTCTTGATTGGAGATTGATCGACGTAACTGCTTTACTTGGCGCTCAACTCTTAACAAAATGCCCCCCCTATTTTTCAATACTACAGGGTCATCCATTTGGGACTGAGATTATGGGAGTCATGGACTTACCTCAATATCACCCAGTTGAGAAAATATGTTATGCCATTGTCCCACTGCAGAGTAAAATGTTTTATTGCTTTCATAACGATTACGCCAAGTCTCGACCTCAGCTTCCAATCTGGACAAGAGCTCTTCTGATTCGTCTTCACCCGTGTAACCATCAATAATAGAAGTTTTATCCAAATGATTCACAAAACACATATCAAGCCAGTGTGACAACTCATCGCGACAAGATGTGATAAACGAAAACAAATTTTTTCGTCTCAGCTCTTGGAGCACAGCAACCTCATTTTCGAGCTAAAA